TCAGTTGTCCACTCTTCCAGGAAGCCCTCCTAGACCACCCTGGTACTTTCTGAGCAGAGCCTCCCCAGAATCTTCTGAGCCCCAACCCCCATCAGCCTGGGTCATGGTTTAGGGGTTTCGGTCCCTGTCTGCGGACCAGTGGCAGCCTGGGGGCTGGGGTCAGCGGAGCCAAGGACTATTGTTTTCCACAGTAAAACATAAACTGGTGACCATGCCTGTCGGCACCCACTAGAGCGGCCACATGGCAAAGTCACCAGGAAGGAACAAAGGGATGCCAGTGGGGTGTGGCCATGTTCTCAGAGCAGGCCCTAAAGGCACTCACACCTCCATTCCTGCGGGATAATTTGCTTCTGGAACCTTAGGCACTCTCGCAGTGCCCCAAGGAGTGAGGCCGGTCTGCGTGGGAAGGGCCCGGCCCAGGCGGGCTGCAGAGAGAATGGGCGTCCACGTCCCGGTGAGGTGGGTTCACGCGGGGCTGAGGATGGCTCCCAAACCACCTCGCCCCTCCCAGCCCCGGCAAGGCAGCTCCTGGAGGTCCCCCTGCCTGGCTGCTGAAGTCAACCCAGTCCTCCCCGCTGGGCAAAGAGCAGGGCGGCCCCGCCGTGCCACAGCTGCCTCACGCACCCTCCAAACACCAGGGACCAGGCAAGGCCTGACGCTCGGCGGCCTGTGGGCCACACTGCGCGGAGGGACAAGGGCAGGACGCGGCCAGGCCTGTCTGATCCCTAAACCCCGGCTCCTCCCACCACCCCAGCTGCCACACAGCAGCGGCTGAGCAGTGGCAACTGCCAGAAACAGGTCATCGTGTAAAGCAGTACCCGGAGTCCTCTGGCACCCAGGAAGGGGACAGAGGCCCCACACTGTGGCCTGCTGGACACTTGCTTCTGGCCGAGACAGGGACACCCTGCACCCCAGGGCTGCAGTCAGCCAGGCCAGGAGGACCCAGGACTGCAGAGGCCAGCCCCACCCTCCCCTAGGCCCAGTCCCCAGGGCCAGAGAAACCAAGGAGATGCCCCGGGGGCCTTCCCTGTGGCCTCGCAGAGGGCCACTGCTGCCCAGCGACAGGGCCCCAGGGACCACGCAGCCAGAGACCGCGCAGAGACACGCAGCTCACCCCGCAGCCTGCAGGGCGGGGCCTCCACAGCCGTTCGCCACCGGCAGGGCTGAGGGGTCTCAGTGCCAGCCCCGGGGCCTCGCTACACAAGTGCCGTACCCAGGCAACACCAAGGCTTCTGGCTGTGTGGCTGCAGGCCGAGACTGACACCAAGCCTCGGTTTCCCCAGGAAGGAAGCAGACGGGCTGCCATGAGGCTGAGACCAGGTGAGGCCTGGTGGTGCCCACCCAGCTGGCACCAGGGGGCCAGCTCTCAGAGCAGGGAGGCGACCCCCACTCTAGAGGTAGAAAACAGGTCAGAGAGAGGAGGTGCCCTCTCCAGGCACACACCTGACACCCGGCCTCCCCCGGTGGGCCCAGACATGCTGTGGCCCCACAGAGCAGCCCTGGGGGGCAGGTGGCACGCGGACAAGCCACCTGTGCCTCCGTGAGGGGCTCTGGCCCACTGCCGCCCACCCCATCACCACAACCCTCACCACAACGGTGATGCCGTCCTTTTCCAGCGGGGCTTTGTCGTAGGTCACTTCACACACGCGCACCACGGTCGTGGCCCCGTATTTCTTCAGGTCCTGGGGGTAGGGGGAGGCAGGGCTGGGCAGGGCTGCAGAGCTCAGGGGCAGTCCCCCTCACTGGGTTCCCAGGCCTCTGGCCCCAGGGAAGGCGCACGGCTCCTCAACCATGGACCATCAGGAGGGCTCTGCTGCAGAGTGACCTGCCTTCGGGGACCTGCAGGCCAAGGCCAGGCAGGCTAGCCCATAGACCCCAGCATGTCGGCCCCCAGCTGGGAGGTGCTCAGGACCCCAGGTCTCATCGGTGAGGCCTGTTGTCCAGATGAGGCCCGGAGGTCCTCCCAGCAGACAGGAGGACCCTCCCACCTGGCTGCCCAGGACGAGCCAGTCTGATGGCCAGGTGTCAGTGGCAGAGGGCCTCGGAGCAAGGAAGACAGTGCTCAGATGGCACTGAGAGGGAGCCAGGCCAGCAGGGAAACCCAGCCACCGGGGAAAGGGCATGGCAGTTCACAGGCAAGTGCGACATTTACACCCGGGGGTGAGGGGCTCCGCTCCATGGCGCACGTGCCGGGGCCATCCCACCCTCGCTGTCTGCGGCAGTTATTTTGAGAGTGGTGAGGAATCAGTAGCTGGGTATCGATGGTCACACGATGAGGACATGGGACATAGGCCAGGACTCGACTACGAGAATGACAGGGCAGAGGGGCCAGACATAGGTCGTGGGGTGCCCTGGAGTCCCACTATGGCCTGAGCGGAGCAGCTCTCTCACTCAGACCAGCACCGGGCCCAGACCTGGCCACGCTCTGAGCTCAGGCGGGAGTCCAGTGCCGGGCCCAGACCTGGCCACGCTCTGAGCTCAGGCGGAAGTCCTGCACCGGGCCCGGACCCTGGCCACACTGAGCCCTGACATTGGTCATACCCCATGAATCCTGATCCTGGACTCTGAGTCCTGATCCTGGTCATGCTCGGAGTCTTGATCCTGGTCACACTGAGCCCTGACCCTGGTCACACACTGAGCCCTGACCCCGAACACACAATAAGCCCTGATTCTGCTCACAGGAGCCTGCCTCAGCTGGGAGGGAGGCAGCCATCCCTCTGCAGAGCACCTGGCTCAGAACACAGGGTCCAGGCTCCTGACAGCTGGCCGAGGACCTTCCTTCACACAGCCGTCAGGGGTCTCTCAAGCTCTAGTTACGTCAAGGCCTCCTGGGTTTATCTTATGACATAGAGGGAAAGACTGAGAGTCTGAGGCCGGAGCGACTCTGCACAGGGCTGCAGACCTGCAAACAGCCCCGCATACAGCCATAACCTGTACGGACAGCCCTGCACCATCACAGGCTCTGCAAACAGCCCTGGGTCTGCAGACAGCAAAGAGCTGTGCAGAGGCAAGGCTCCTACGGCAGGCCGTGCTGACGGCCGGCCTCTCTTCGTAGCACAGGCTGTGCAAACGCGTCTGGTCCTGTCTGCCGCTTCTCTGCCTGCTGGATCTCCAGGGTCAGGGGTCACTTCCTCCCGCAGCCAGCTCTGCCTCTCGTCCAGACCCTCCTCACACAGAGGTGTGAGCTGAAGTCCCAGTCCAGCCGCTCTAACCTGGAGCCTCACCCAGAGCCCATGCACCTCCTACAGCTTGGGCCAGCCAGCCCTCCCTCCTGTCAGCGTCCTCAGGGGCCAAGGGGTCTGCAAAGGGCTTCGCACCCTCCAGCCTCGGCGATGGCCGACTGCTCAGAGCCCAGCCCGTTTCTTCACGCAACGTGGAGCACCACCCGTTCCCGCCAGGCCAGGGAAGACCCTCCACCGCAACGCCCCTCACACCGAGCCACCCCGTGGGGTCCTAGAAAGCAGTGTTTGGTGCCGCCACAGCCACCCTCCACCCAGCCTCTCAGAGCCCCAGGGCCTGCCCGGCCCCACTCACCTGGATGAAGGCGCTGAGGGTGGCGTTGGTGGGGTTGTGAGTGATGAGGAAGCGCATGTTCTTGTAGCTCACCTCCACCGGGGCGGGGCGGTTCATCCGCGCCATGGCTCCTCCCCAGAGGGTGGGCCAGCGGGAAGGGGCTGCAGAGGGGGCTGGGGACACAGAGAAACGCCACCAGCCCCCAACACTGGGGGGGATATCCCTGTGCTTGAAACCTACCCCCTGCACCCCGCACAAATGTGCGAACACGCGGGGAAGGGTAGGAGCTGCCCCTGCCGGGAGAGGGAACGTGAATCCCAGAAAGAGGAGAGGCAGCTACTTCTAACCGCCTGGCTGGAGGACTCTAAGGGGCAGAAATAAAAGCGACCACCGCCAAAAACTCGGCAAAGAACACTCAGTAACCTAACGCGAGTCTGGCCGCACCAGCGTCAGGCGCTGAGCTCCTGGCTGGGGACAGACTCCCCGCATGAGCAAAGGGGCAGTCGCTGCACCCAGAGGGGCCCCACCCCTCCCGGGACCAGAGGAAACGAAATTAAGCTGAACCGACTCTGGAGCTTTGGGGTGGGATTGCCGCTGGGCCTCTGTCACGTTACCCCATCAGGGAACAGCCAGTCCTGGAGGGGGCAGGGGGCTTAAGCGACAGGGCTGGTCCTGGGCCGGGCAGAGGAGGCCATGGCAGATGAGGACGAGGGCGAGGGCGAGGGCGAGGGCGGGACTTCTCAGCGGCAGGTGTGGCAGCGGCAGGGTGGGGCGCAGCAGGGCCCAGAGGTGCCCGCAGTGGCACTGTCCATGTAGCCCAGGCCGGTCAGCAGCAGGCCACATCTGGGGGAAGGGCAAGAGGGACAGAGGGGTCACCATGAGCCCCCAGCCCTGCCTGAGCTCAGGCCTTGCCCACGACCTGCTGAGTGAGAGGCTCTCCGTGGGCCTACTCCAGGCCCACCTAGGGGCCTGAGGTGATGGGACAGCCATGGCACCCAGCAGGGGTGGGGGGGTGGAAGAGAGGGATCTGGGGACACATCTCAGGAGTGTGCCAAACGTGTGGAGGTTGTGGGGCCATCTACGGTGACAGAGGCCCAGCCCTCGGCCTGGGACCCCGGACACCCCACCGCACCCCACCCGGCAGCTGCCCTTCTCTTCCAGCTAGGCCGCTGCAGAACGTCAGCATCCAGGCCTCTCCAAGGAGCCCTCCCTCAGGGAGCTGCAGGAGACTGAGGCTGAGGGTACAGCTTCATGCACAGCCAGGAGGCGCCCAGCCAGGCCCTCATGCCCACCACAGTGGGCTCCCAGGCTGGTCAGGCCCGGAGATAAACAAGCCGGGCTCCGCCCGCTGGGGCCGCGAGAGGCAGGACGCAGGGCAGCCAGCAGGCCAGCCAGCAGGCACATGCCAGGGCTGACTGGCACAGGACTGCACAGGGGCCAGGGCAGGTCACACCCAGACAGGCCCTGGGAGGGCCGTGCTGGGGACAGGGGCAGCCACGTGCACCTCCGGCTGCGTGGGAGGTCTCTCTGGGGCTCAGTGTCCCCCTCTGCACACAATGTCCCAAGGTCCCTCGGTTGGCAGCGTGGCCAGCCGAGCCCTGCGCCCAGCCCGGGCCCAGTCCCTTCCTTTCTCTGCCCAAGGACGGGCCCAGGGCCCCTCACCCAGCAGAGCCCTGCAGCCCTGGCCACAGCCTCTTACCTTTGCACCCGCCCCGTGCCCCTTGTCCTGCTGCCCGCCACGTAGCTCAGCCCCTGGAGCCTCAGCCTGGGTGCAGGGCGCCCGAGGCTTGGGATCCCAGCTCCACTGTGCAGGATGGTGGGCACAGCTGTCCCCTGGCCTCCGCGCCTGGAGACAGCAGGCACACATCCGCTCTGCCTCCGCCGTGGTCCTGGGAGGGCCAGAGGGGGCCACCCCGAAGTGGGTAAAAGGCAGAGAAGGAGCCCTTTCCCCCTAGGCAGCCCTCAGCCTGCACGACTGGTGTGGCGCTGGCTGGGCCCAGGTGAGGGCCTGTAGCACACAAACACCTGCTCCCTCCTGGGGCGCCGTCCCGTGTGTCTGTGCGCCTGAGCACTACGCCAGCTCCTGTTTACAGGAAGAACGGAGGGAGGGGCCGAGGAAGTCAGGGTGCTGCAGGGGCCTCCTCCGAGGTGCTGATCCAGCCTCACCACCCATAGCTGCAGAGGGCTGGGGAGGCCCCAAGGGAAGCACCCACCCCACGGTCACCAGAGGCCCAAAGCGACCGGGGTTAGTCTGGGCTGAGGTCAGGCCAGAGCCTTGGTAGAATGGAGTCAGGGCCCAGGTGGAGACTGGGCTGGACTCTGTCTCTGGGTCTGAGGCCCCCATCCTCGGTGAGAGCAAAGCAGGCATCCCAGGCTCCCCGAGATGGCTCAGCTCCCTTACCACTGGCCCTCAGGGGAGCCGCTCCCTAACCATGCCCCGAGGAGGTCTCTGAATAGCGAGCACCCAGAGCCAGGGCTACCGGGAGCTCCAGCCTCTGCCCTGCATCCGTGGGCAGCCATGCCTGTCCCGCCACCCCGACTCAGCGGGCTCCAGGTCTGGGCAGAGGCAGCGCCCAGGGCCGGCAGAGAGCTCCCTGCGGCCGAGCCCCCGGCTCCTGCTGAGCAGGCAGGGCTGGCACTCCATCCCCATGCCACCCTGAGAGTCCCCAGCCTCCTGCCCCTGCCCTGTGATCCCTCTGGGTCCTGGCCCCGCCTCCTGGGGCCAAGCTCAGAGGCCTCCACTGCTTCCAAACAGCTACTGGTCACAGCCCTTTAAGGAAGAGCCCGCGGTTGTCCCTGCTTGCCAGAGGAGGAAACTGGCCCGGGCGGGGTGGGAGGACATTCTCTGGGCCCTGGCCAGCCAGGCACCCAGCTAGGTGGCTTTTTCCAACCTCCAGTCTAGAAAGCAGGAGCAGCGCTGGACCCCAGAGCACAGAAGAGGGGACGGAGGTTCAGGGAAGCTGCCTGGTCCCAGGGCCCGCGGGCTTAGGAGCTGGAGCCCAGCCAGAGGGCCTCCCCCACCCAGTCTGGGGCCCTAGTGCTCTCCTGGGAGAGGGAAGGCAGCATGGGGAACCCCAGCGGCCTTGGCCTGGGGCAGGGGGCTTGTGGGCCCTAGCAGGGGAGGCCCTGGGTCCTGCCTGCTCACCCACCAGGCAGCTTGCTCACCCGCGCCCGGAGGCGTCCCGCCACCACTTCCATGCGAGCCGGCAGGTGCCTGTGTGGTCGCTGGGCCGGGCCCTGAGACTGTGAGCCTAAGCCCTGAGCCCTCCCCTGCCCTTCCTGGCGGGCTGGCTCCCAGGCCCACGGCTGGCAGGCAGGTTCCAGCTATTTATAGCACGCAGGATGTCAAGTGGGGGTGGCAACCCCAAGGGCGACCCAGCAAGTGGCTCCCACACTGCCGCCTAATATAGTGGGCAAACGAAGGCCGTGGGGTGGCAGCACGGAGGCCGGCGGGGGAACGCAGGGGCAGCAGAGGGCTCGGCTCTGGGCGCTGACCACAGCCTGCCTCCCCAGCAGCTCTCACCCCTAGCACCTGCCCCGGCTCCCCAGGGCTCTGTCACCCACAGTGAAGACCTCCGCACAGGGAAGGCCAGGCTCTCTTTGGAAATGGTAGTGGGGGCACCAGTGGTGGGGCCAGCACCCAGGTACCCCACCTCGGCTCTGTGTAGGGTGCCACTCTCTCTCCTGTAACCCTCGTAATCTTCACATCACCTCGTTCCCCCAGAACACAGGTGAGGAAACTGAGGCACCAAGCCTGGGAGCACATTCAGAGCCACACGGGCAGGCAGGATCTGTCCTGTCCACTCCCAGCCCATTCACTAAGTCCATGCAGATTCCCCTCTTCCATGAAGCCCTCCATGACACTCCCAAGAGAAATCCTCTCTGGGGTCCCACCTGCCCTCTACAGCAGGGTCCAGGTTTGGCCTCCAGGGAGCCCTGTCCAGAACTCACATGAGCCCCAGATGAGTGATGGGAACCCAGGGTCATGGTCAAGGCTTCCTGCCCTGGCCACCTGGAGGCCTCAGAGCTGGGTGGACAGGACAAGCAGAGCCCCCAGCCCAAGGTCGCTGGGGCCACCAGACAGCCTGGCCTCTGCAGTCAGTACCCAGCACCAGGGGAGGGGGCAGGCCGGCCAGGGGCCTGGCCCAACACCCCACCCCCAGCTCCAGCCCCACACCCAGCCAGAGAGCATGGCCTTAGCCTGGCTGGCACAGCCCCTCCCACCCAGGAGAGCGAGCAGGCAACGGAGGCCAGGCTAGGGTGGCATGTGAGGGCCGAAAGGGTTCACAGGGGCCCTGCCCACAGGCATGCCCAGCCCCGGCGCGAGCTCCCTGACAGGGACTGCAGCCCATGGGTTCCCTCGGCCCCGGGACCTGCCTCTCACCCCAGTGCTCCCAGCCGCCTGCTCTCTGAAGGTCCAAGGTGGGAATGCCAGCTCCGAGCACCCACTGCCCGCCACTTCCCACCCCCACTGCTGCCCAGAAGCGGTGCTCTCGGCTGCCATGCCGGACCTGCACCCTCCCAGCACGGCTCCAGGACTGCCTCGTCAGGTCTGAAGCGGTGGCTCAGAGAAAGGGCCTGACCAGCATCCCACAGCCAGGAAGCTGCAGTGCAGCTGGGTTTGCTGCACCCTAGAGCTGCTGCCCTCTGGGCCCCACCCTCTGGAGGGACTGTCTGCCTCTGCCCCCACCACCCCAGCCTCTGCTCAGTGAAGTGACGAGGTCCTGCAGGCCGCCACGGCCGGACGCAGAGCCCCCTCTGGCCGGGCCTGGGGGCACCTGCCACAGCGGGCACAGCCCCAGGCCTTTCGGAGAAGTCTATTTATAGCAGGGCAGGAGCTGTTCCTGGAACCCTCCCAGGGTGATCGCAAGTCCGCCCACTACGGGGGGCCAGGAAGGGAGACCCGAGCAGGCCAAGCCCCTGCAGAGCCAGCACTGAGGGTCCAGCCCCTCTCCCCTCAGCCACCGGCCTGGTGAACAGAGTTCCTGGCCCAGGTCTGCACCTCTGGTGGCAAGAGGGGCTAAGCGACCCAGCTCCAGCTGCCCCGCACACAGCCCTGGCACCAAGGAGGCTCTCACTTGTTTGTGGAAAGAACAACTGCCCCAGAGTTCTGGGCCAAAGCTCATCCCGGGCTCTCAGCCCCCAGGTCTGGGGGGTTCAGAGGTCGCCTACACCGCCCGATCCCCGCTCACACACCTAACACACCTCTGGTGATGGGGCGCCGCCGCGCCCCCAGCAGCCCTGGCCCCCACACCCACCGGCGCCCCACGCTCCCAGTGCATCAAGTGCTTCCTGAGCGTGTGCCTGGGACAGGAAACAGCCAGAGGGCAGCCTCTCCGGGCAGGAGCTCCAGGGCCAGGTGACCCCCAGGGCAGCGCGCCCAGGGAAGGCAGGGTCAGGGAGGCGTGCGGGGACAGCACGAGGACAGGGCCTGACCTACAAGGCAACTGCAAGCCAGGCTGGCCAGGGCGAGCTGCGGGCTCTCAGACCTGGGCCCATTCCCCCAGCTCCCTCCTCCCCTGTGGAAGGTACGACAAGCCCTGCCTTGCTAGATGAGGGGCGAAGTGGACAATGGGCACTGACAGCTGGTGGACGGGGCCTCCGGCCACCAGGTCATGACCAGAGGAGGAAACTGAGCAGAGCGAGGGCATGCCAGAGAGCCACGTGTGGGCCTGGGAGCCCTCCAGGTGCCCCTGCCAGCCCAGAGGCCCATCTGACGGCCCAGCAGGTGGGCTGCCTCACCCTGCTCTAGCCCACTCCCGCCACGGGCCTGCCCTTCCTGCCACAGCTGGGAGCAGGGCTGGGAGGAGGGCAGTGACTTGGAAGGCACCCCCGCCTACTGGCCAGGCTACCCGTGGTAGACACCACACAGTACCACACAGGCCACAGCTCCCCAAGCCCTGGCCCCACTCGAAGCACCCCTCATGTCACCTATCACTGACCAGACCCTCCCGAGACCCAGCCCTGTACCTGAGCCCCTGCCACCTCCCGGGTGCCCACCCAGGCCTCACACTCCAGCAGGGAGGAGAGGAGCCAGGCCCCGTGCATGCGTGCAGGCGTGTGACTTTCCAGCTGTCCGTCAGGTGTGACGGCGCCTGCTGAGCACCTCTAGTGCCAGGGTCTGGGCTGAGCTGGGGGTGCGAGAGAGCCGCCCCTCCCGCCCTGCCAGGGCTGCCCTGGGAGCCGCCTCCCCTGGGGCCATATATCCCTGCCTAGGGCTCTCTTCCTCCCTGAGGCAGAGCCACCTGGGCCTTCACAGAGCCCCGCACCGGCCTGTCCCCAGAGTCCCGGCTCCCAGGCAGGGCTGGAATGCCCATGTTCCAGTGCCACCTCCTGGGTGGCAGATAGGCTTCACACAGCCCATCTGCCTCCCCTCCAGGCCCTGTGCCCACTCTGGCCTCCGCTGCTGGTTCCTTCCACACTTGCCCCAGCCCAGCCCACTTCCTCCTGCTCCAGTTCCACAGCCGTGTCCTCGGGACAGCTTGACTACCAGGGCACCTCCCATCTGGGCCTATGTCCTCTGAAAGGGGCCAATGGCAACTCCCTTCCAGGGTTATCAGGAAGCAATGAGTTCTGTGCTCGGAACGCTGCCCGGACCAGGCATGCTTCCCACCAGCCGTGTGGCCCCGGTCCCCAGGGTTGCCACACAGCACCGGCCCTCAGCGTCCAGCAAGGGGTACTCGGGCCTGGGCATCCTCCTGCAGGCCCAGGTCTCAGGGCCTCGCACCTCCTGCCCATTCCCAACACCCCTCGGCAGCGCAGGCCCCTGAGCTGGCATGAGACCTGGTGAAGGAGCATGGCTGTGCCTTCACGAGACACTGCCTGCCAGCCCTGCGCCCACCCAGGGATGGAGCCTCTACTCCCCAGGGCCCTCCAGAGCCCAGGCCCTCCCCCAGGGCAGGCGTGGCAGCACCTACCTATGTCTGGTCTCCGGGACAGCTCAGCTCAGGTGTGGCAGGTGTGCACCTCCAGCCCAGACGAGACAGTCATCGTCCACCCACCCAGAGAAGCCTCAGAGCGAGGCCACCCTGTCGCCCTGCTCACACATGCTCCCTGCAGCCTACAAAACTCAGTTCCAGCTTTTCAGCCTGGTCCACTAGGCCCTGACTTCCCACCCTCAGCTGGTGGGGTAGGTGGGAGGAGGCTGCACCCCTAGGCACCCTGCTCTCTCTGCCAGGGACACCCTGGTCTCTCCTCCTCACACCTGCTTCCAAGAAATCCCAGGTGCCTTCAGTGCCCAAGTCTGCACACCAAGCTCCCATTCATATGCGAACTCGCCTAGCACCCTCTGGGCTCCAGGCCCATGTGGGCACTGGGTGGGGGTCAAGGGTGAGCCAAGCCACAGCCTATTCTCGGGACAGTCTGGGTGGAGGACGGCAGGGGACATGTAATGACCAGGCAATGGGTTACGACAGAGGGAAACGGTGTGGATGGACACAGTCACCGCGGGAGGGAGTGATCACAGAGGGCTCATTGAGGAGGCAGCCTCAGCAGACATGCCAGACCACAGCCAGGACAGGAGATGGGAGAGCACCAGACTCTCCCCTGAGTCCCCACGAGAGCAGCCTCACCAACCAGCAGTCCTGCCACAGCCCAGAGTGCTCAGGGCACACCCCCACCCCCACAGTGCCTCGGGGTTCCAGCCCGGGTGCCCTCACCTGCAGAGCCTGGCCCGGGAAGGGGCCTGCAGGGCTGCTGGAGCAGACACAGACAGCACGCCAGGTAGCCAAGGAGTCCTGCAGCGGCCCCCACCGCCTGGCATGCCTCTGGAACTTCCTATCTTCCCAGGGGTCCTCCAACCCAAGCCAGCAGGGCCTGCTAAGCAGCTAATACAGTAAACAGTTAGGACAAGGACAGCCGAGAGCTCCCACTGAGAGCCACAGGTGGCAGAGCCTCACAGATCCAGCGTCTCCTTTCCAGCCCGGCGGGGTCCCAGGGCTCTGCACAGCAGCCTCACCAGCCTTATCGGCCATGTAAGCATCAGGAGGGGCTGTATGTCTACACCCCACGCAAGCATCAGGAGGGGATGTGTGTCTACACCACCAGGAGTGGGCGGGCCAGTCCAAGCAGCAGCTCTTTAATGCCCACGCCCACACGGCACGTGTACTAGGCCAGTTCTGCCCCACGGCCCCTTAAAGGGCACCTGTAAGGCTGAGTGACCTGTGACAGGGCCCCTTAGTGAAAGGAGTCATGACAGGTGATAAATAGCGGGGTCCCGGTGACAACCCTCATTTAACAAGGACACAGGCAGATGGGCTCAGGCCAGGAAGCAGCAGAGCCAGGCTGGGCCC